GAGAGAGAGAGAGAGAGAGAGAGAGAAGCACGTCCCTATGAGTGTGGGCGTATGTGGTTGGAAAAGGGAGTATAGGATACCACACACTGCGATCCTTTCTCCACTGAGTCCTATTTTCATTCTTTCCACAAAACTTCACCCGCTTCTCGCTCTGAATCTCACATTCTGGCGAAGAGGGAGAGATTCTCTCAGATTCCCACGGTCTAACCTTCAGCATGGAGCGTCTCCTTTAAGACTCGCCCTTCCCTAGGTCTATTAAGGAGAGAGGGGCGGGCGTGAGCCTGAGAACCCGCCCCTGACTGGTGATTGGCCGGTGGACGGGCAGGGGCGTTCCTGAGGGGGGCCTTCCCCCCCACCCCAGCTCCATACCCTCCGCCCCCCCCCAGTCTGGGGCTCCGGGTAAAGTTTCAGCCTCCGCACGTGACTCGCCATGGCCGCTGCCGTCGCCCCGCGCCCCTGAGCCGCGGCCCCCCGGACGGCTCCTCTCCCGGGACCCCACAACCCTGACGCCAAGCAGCGCCGAGGCGCCGGGTTAGGGCAGACGCCGTGCCCGCTGACTCTCCAGACGTGTTGCGTCCCCCTGCTGCGAGGTAACCTCTCCCCCGGGATTCACGGGAGCCCTCGGCTCCCTCTGGCTTCGGGGCCCGGTGGCCTGCTCTTGATGGGAGCCACGGGCAGGGACCAAGTGCCAGGCAGTTCCGACCCGAACCTGAGGGTTCCTGGGCTTCCCAGCCGTCCGCCTCCGTGTCCAGGGTGGGGGAGCCCCATCTGTGCGTCTGTCTGCGCCGAGTCTTCGCGCGCAGCCTTGAGGCGTCTGGGGTAGTCTGCCGTGCGTGTCCCCGGCGCTCGAGCCGTGTCAGAACCGCCACTGGGAACTCCTGCTCTCTCTTTTCTCCTCAAAACCAAGCAAAACAAAAAGACTTTCAAACCTGTTTGGGGAGAGATCAGATGCCCAACGGACTAGCCCCCTCCCTCCTTCCTCCTGTTACCTGAGCCGCCCTGTGGTTTGGGGAGAATCAGCAAGGGGACCTACCCCCACCAGAAAGAGCTGGATGGGGGCGGGGCCCACCCAGCTGGTGTCCCCCATGGAGTGAGGGGAGCCGTCAGAATTGGGTGCGGAGCCAGTGTAGTTGTGTGGGGGGTGTCCTTGGGTCTTGTGTTACAATGGGGTTTTGGAAGCCTTTTAGGGTGGAGGAGGACAGAATAGACTGGCCGACCTTGCTCTGCCTAGGATGTCTGGGACCTGGTGCCACCCACGAGGCTTGGAAGCTGCTAGCCAGATGTGTGTATGTGTGTATGTGGGGGAGGGAAAAATCAGCTTGGCTATGTCCCCTCTCCTCATTTCTGGGTACTGCCCTGTTGTCAGGCTGCTCCATAGGAAGAGGGGCAGGCCCCCATTGTACTAATCTGGGGGTGGGGACCAGCTTATATGAAAAATCAGATTTTAAAAAGTCCACCAGCCTTGGAGAAGTTTCTTCATTCTTCATCCTGTCTTGGATAGGATGCCAGTATGTTGACATGTAAGGGTACCCCCCTCACCCCACCTTGTGTCAACTCCCTCTTCTGCCATCAGGTTATCTTCTGCCTGCTGCCTGTGTGTATGCATGTATACACACACAAAGCATATAAATATGTCTGTGTTTATATATATATAAATATTTTCTGAGGGGATTGTACCTGAGAACACTTCCTGACTGCTCACCCTTTGTTGCTTACCCCAGCCCTCATTTCTGCTCCTGACTCCCCCCACATTAGTGGGGAGATTGAGAGATGTCTCTTGCGCATTTTCTTGGCTGCAGTCTTTATAAGGGTATTAATACCCTTTGGGGGGAAGTGGTTCAGTAAGGACCCTCCTGGGGCTTGGTAGGAAATTAGGGTCTAGGTCCCCAAATTCCTCAAGCTCCTTCAGGACTGTATGGGGAGGCTGGACTGGGGAAGCCCCAGGTTGGAGATGGGGTGGCTTAGAGCTTTGGGGCTTCCCCCCCTGGAGGGTTGGAGATGAGTCTGGGGGAGGGAACAAGAGAAAGTATTTGGACTTGGGATCTGGTTCTTCCTCCTGGAGGAAGAAGGGGAATGGTTGTGGAGTCAGTGAGTTTGTGGCTATGAAAGATGGTGCACAGGAGAGTTGGGACATCAGTACTGCATGAGAGTCCTGGCTATGAAACAAAGAGGTCAATAGGGTCAGACATGAGTAGGCCTTTGGGAGCTGAGGATCTTGGATTTGCAGGGACTTTGAGGGTGTGAGCTTGTGCCTGAGGTGGTCATTGCAGGGTTGCACCACCAGACTCTTTTTTTTTTTTTTTTTTTAAGAGAGAGTGAGAGAGGAGAGAGAGTGAGAGAAAGAGAGAATTTTTAATATTTATTTTTTAGTTCTCGGCGGACACAACATCTTTGTTGGTATGTGGTGCTGAGGATCGAACCCAGGCCGCACGCATGCCAGGCGAGTGTGCTATGGCTTGAGCCACATCCCCAGCCCACCACCAGACAGTGCAGATGAAGTGGCAGTTCTGAGAGGACCCTGGGTTTGGAACAGCTTAATCCTGGCCACCTCCTCCTAAATCCCTTATATCTTGCTCCCTTCAGTCTGACCCTAAATGCCCCTGCTGCCACCCTGGGATACCTCTCTAGTTTTCCTCCTACTCCCAACCCTGCGGCACTCTGGCAGGAAGCTAGCTGTAGGCAGCCCCATCCTGATCGCCCCTGTTCCTCCCACGCTGGGCATAGTCACCTACTCATGCCATGACGTGGTTCCTGCCACCCAGTCTACTATGGGGGAGAGAATATTGTCTGAGTGGCCTTCAGGTTTGTTTGGGGGATATCAACCCAGAGCCCAGTTAATTAGCTCCCCTTCCCTAAACCTTTTGGTCTCTGAAGCTGGCTCTACTCTGTGGGACCTATCTCCCCAGGCCACTCTTTGCTCAGGTTCTAGAGTCTTAGGTGGGATGGTCCTCAGAATTATGTGATGTGAGGGTAGGGCCTGCCCCCAAATACAAGGCTCAGTATCCAGATTTCTTCCCTCTGGGAGGCATGAGCAGGGCGGGACTTAGGCTTGGCTGGAGGGGTAGGTATGTTGAGGGCTGCCTTGTGGAGTCTGGTTGGGAGCACTGCTTGGGATTTAGGGTGACAGGCATTTGGGGAAGATAATCCTCTCCCTGTGACGAGGAGTAAGTGGGATAATCTCCACTTGCCCAGCACCTCACGCCCCTGTCTGGTGGTAATGGTTTGGGAGTGTGGGAAGTTGGCAGGGCCCCTGGCAAGACGTCCAGAGTTGTCTTGGCTTACTGGGTTTTGGGAAAGGAGTGTGGCAACTGATACCCTCAGCTCCCAGGGCTTTGGCTGCACATCCTCTCTGACGCCTGCTCCTTCCTCCCTTTGCTCTCCTCTCCACCCTCCTGCTGCTGTCTGGAGCACACAGGGTTTGTGGGGGGGATGTGGGGCGGAGGGTAGAGACTGGATCTCTGTGTGTGTCCAGGGAGTGTTCTGGGAATTGGCAGGACTGACTGAGGGTATTTGGGTGTCTCTGCAGGGTGGGCGGCATGTGGGGACCTGGCCCAGAGTGTGAGAATGTGTCAGAGTCGGTGTGTCTGTCCCCAGTCTGGCTTGGGTGTGGGTGTCTCTTGCTTCGTCTGGATCTTGCCTCCTGCTCTAGTCTTCATCCCCCTCCTTCCCTCCACCCCAACCAGGACCGCCTGCTTACTCTCCTTCTCCCGCAACTGGAGCCTCCCTTGCCTGTTCCTGGAATTTGGAGAGGAGGAGGAGGAAGAGGCAGGCAGACAGACCTCCCACACTCTAGCCTGCCCGCCCGCCTGCCCGCCTGGCATCATGGGGAAATGAAATAGGTGCTGTGGAACTAAGTTTTCCCTGGCTTCCCCAGACCCTCTTGCATACAGTAGCCAGCTCTTACAGACGGGCCATGGGCTGCCCGCCTCTCTGGGCAATGACTCTCCTTCTACTTAGTGTCTGCCCCACAAGGCCCCTGCTGGACCTCCAGGCACCACTGTTAGCCTGGGGAGCCAGTAAGGGGATTAGGCTGCTGCCAGCTTGGCCAGCACCTGTTGCCAATCCCAGCCCTGTAACTGGAGCTGGCTAGGGAGGGGGCTGCAAAATGACAGGTGGAATTTCTGCAGCTAGGCAACCTTCCCACCCAGCCCCCAACTGGATAAGTCTTTCCTTTCTGGCCTGAACAAGGAAAGCCTGCCCACTACCTCCCCAAGTGTCAAGATGATCTTAGGGTTGATGCCCAATGACTCCCATCCCCGTCACTGACTGCTGAGCCGGGATGCCCTCCTTCAAGTTTTCAGAGCTCTGCTGCTTTAGGGATTGTGTGTGTGTGTGTGTGTGTGTGTGTGTGTGTGTGTGTGTTGGGGGATGGCTGGGGGTGGTTCTCTGTTAATGTTTTAATTGCATAAAAACTGGGAGCTCAGCTCTGGACCAGTGGGGAGTCTGGGTCTGGCTGGCCGCCCAGTTTGGGCTAAATATAGTCTGGGACATCTGCAGAGAAGAGGAGGGGGGTGGAGGGAGGTTCCATTCCCCCCACCTCCAGCCAAGGTGCCCTCGTCTGGGCAGGCACCTTGGAGCAGGGAGGGGGATTCCTCAGCACAAAAGGCAGAGGAGAGGTAGCAGGGGCTAGGCACAGTTGGAACCGTACCTACCTGGAGACTAGTAGATACCTGAGATGAACCCAGAGGCTCATTAAAGGACCTGAATCGGGTGTGCCTGATAGATCCTCCCCACCCCCCAACACCCCCCCATAGCTGCCTGAGGTCAGGTTGTCTCTATATGTCACTGCGCCCATCCAGCGTTGTGTCACAGTGACCCATTCACTGTGTGCCTGTGTGTACACACCTACCTTGGAGTGGCTTATATCTAGCCCCTCCCCCTGAAGCCTCTGTCCCCTGGGTCCTACTGCAGGTCCCCAGCCCTCCTTTCCTCTGTCCCTTGCCCCACAGCGAAAGCTTCAGTCCAGGAATCGAGACTTGAGAAGGGGAAACTGCGGTGGGGAGTTCTCTGATCTCCAGTCACGGCAGGAAGTGGAGAGGAGGGGGACCGAGGGGGGAACAGTGAGTGGCAGGCAAGGAGGGAGGGCCCTGTCAACCCTGCACTGACTGACCGTGCATATGGTGATGGAGGATGGCAACCCTCCCAGCGGTGCTCCCTTTCCCTCCAGCTCCAGGTGGAGGAAACTTGAGGGACAGCTGATTCCCCAGGGGCTGTGAACAATCTTTGTCACCCCCCCAACAGTGAGAAAAAAAATGTCTTCCTGTCACGTGGCTGTCACTTCCTGTCCCACTGTGGTTCCCTGGGTGTTTGTTGTTGGTTGTCATGGTGATGGCTGCCGTAGGCACTACCCCTGGTTCTTGTGGGGAGAAAGCTGCCCCTCCCCTCAAAGCCCACAGTTGGGAGGGGGACTTGGGGGGCCTGACTAGGGGGCCTTTTCAGGCTGAGTGTGTGTGGTCTCTGATGCCCTAGGTCCCCCAGGGCCCCCCAGACTTTTGTCTGTGGGAAGGAGTCACAGCCACCTACTCAGACTGAGTGTTGGGGAGATTGTGACCGCATCTGGCTGTGCTTGACTGTGGCTGTGACTGTGCATCTGACTGATTTGGTGGCCCCATCCCTTCTAACCCTCTGCTTCCTAAGATCCCAGTTCACGAAGCCCCTGCCTTCCCTATTTCCCTCATACAGTTTGGGAGCCCTCTCTCATCTTGTGTTTTGATGGACACCACCTTCCCCAGGGAGTTTCTGTAGCTTCTTGGGATCCAGACTGGAGTGTGGAGGGACTCTGGGCAGGGTCCCCTGTGTGTTTTGGGGGTGGGAATGGATCTGTAGACTGTGCTTTCTCCTACACAGAAACAGTACCAGCTTCTCCCTTATCCTGCACCCTTGTTCTTTAGGGAAGGCCATGAGCTCTGTGACCAGATTTCCCCACCCACTGTGGGCTTCCCTGATCAGCTGGGGACAAGAGATTCCCCTTAGTTTTAGCCCCAACTGAGTGGTTGGGTGTGGAGTAGGAAGTTCCTGGGGGGTCGATGGGTGTGGGGTATGGGGCGGGGCACAGTCTGACTCAGGCCTAGTCTGGGGTCAGAGCCAAAAGGATATCCTGAGGTAGGAAGGGGGCTGTTCCTGGCTTCCCTGCAGCTTAGATCCCCAGGGAAGGATGCTGGGAGTGGGCTGGTAGCATCTAGTCCTGTTGGCAGTTTGCCCTAGGATTCAGAATATGGCAGGCTCAGGGTTGGGGCCCACATGAGACCATGAGTGGGTGAGTGCTATAGCCTGTTCCCCTATTTGCTGTTCTGTCCCATTTCTCTGTGAGCCCTCTGCTCCCCAGTGCTTCCTGCTTGGTGTATTGCCCGGAGGCGGGGGACAGGGGCAGCTGCCAAGGTGAGGGTGGGGAAAGCCCCATGCCAGGCTGGGTGTGATGATGGTGGTTTCCAAACTGGGGGGTCCCCTTAGTGCCCCTCTGGTCCCCCACCAGACAGAGGTGCCTTTGTGTGGTCCATACACTCCTGTGGTCTGGCAGTAGCCTCAGCAGGCTCATCTCTTCCTCTTCCTGTTTTCTTCCTTCCCCATTTGGTCCCTCTCCCTGAATCCTGGGTTGCCCCCTGCCCTTTCACCTACTCTATGCTTCAAAGGAAGACCTAGTGGGGGGTCTTCAGCTCTGGTTCTGGGTGGGCATCGCAGCTACCCTGGGCTTTAGAGGTCCTTAGCATGGCTCCAGAGGGCTCTCAGGTGCCATCCTTGGGGGTACCTGGCAGATATCCCCACTTCTTCCTCCTAGAACCTGACCTGTCCTGGGCTTGGGTTTCTGCCTAGATTCAGTCACTGCTGACATTGTGGGGACTGGGAGCCAGGCAGCTCTGTGGACGTGGGGCAGGACTTGGGGCTGGACTTGGGGCTGTGTGGAGTACAAATTGCAGGGACAACCATTCTTCTGGAATAAAGTGCTGTCTTGAGGCAGTGGGCAGTGGGAGGCCCCAGCAGCACTACTGCTATCCCCTGATGTCTGTGAGGATGTGCTCAGGGCCTGGACATACTGGTGCAGGTTTTCAAGCCAGTCCTAGCTACAGAGAAGCTGGGATTCTGGGAGGCTGGTAGTGAAGAGGTACCCTCCACCTGTACTAGCCTCCCCCAGGTGATCCTTCTCAAGCCCTCCTCAGGTGTTCTCTTTGAAAATGAGGCTGGGCTTGTCTTGGAGGAAGAGTGAGAGCCATGGCTAGAGCGGCCTCTTGCAAAAAGGAAAAAGGGAATAGTGGTCATCACGCTCCCCAGCCCGGTCTGCAGATGGAGAAGAGTGGGGGAGGGGAGAGGTTGTGGCTTTGTGTGTGTGAATGTGTTTTCCTGGAAAGTTTATAAATAGTTCCAGCCCACTGTTCTAGTTTGAAATGTGCCCTGTCCCGCCCTGCTTGGCCAGCTCGGCCAGCTCAGCCAGCTCCTGGCAGAGTAGGGGGTCCAGAGGAGGCAGGGCTTTGTTTCTGCCAGAGCTGGAGTCCCTCCCACCCAAGTTGAGCTTGAGCTCTGGGTGTCATTTGCATATGATTCATTAACTGTCTAGAATGCTTAGGAAACCCCCTGTCTCCCCTTCTTATAAACTCCTCAATCCTTGCCTCTTTCTCTCAGTCCCTCCGGAGGGGACTGCTTGACTTCTATTCCTGGGCAACTGTTGTTTCAGGGAGCCAGGGGAACAGAGAGGAGAGAATGAATGAAGAAGAAGGCAGGCTGGGCCCAGCTGAGCTTGGGGATCCCTGGCTCCATTCCCCTGAGGATAGGGGAGGAAATGGCCTATTTCTCTTCCCCTTCTTCCCTCCCCAAATCCAGAGATTTCCCTTTTTTGGTTTGTGAAATTCAAGAAGGGAATTTGGGAAAGGGTTGTGGTCAGGCCTCCACCCACACCCCTAATATCTGTCTCCCACATCCCTCTCCTCTGTCTGGGGGAAGCAGACCCTGGAAAATGGGTAATGTTTCCTCCCTGCCCTGTCCACAGAGGCGAGCAGGAGATGACCAGACTGCTGAGGCCCTGGGTGATAGTGAAAGGCTCAGGGAGGGAGGGCCTAGGTGCCCAGTTCTCCCCCTGCACCAGGCTTCTGCTAGGTGCTTTCCAGGGCTTCATCTCTTAAATCCCACAACCAGCTGTTGAGGTAGGCAGTTCATAGGCTAGAAAACAGATGCTTAGAGAGGTTAAGTGACTTGCCTAAGGTCGCCCAGAGTGGCAGAGCTGAGATTTGACCTCTGTTTTTTTCCTGTCATTTTTATGGTTCAGTCAACTCTTACCTTTTTCCTCTAGTGTGTATGACTCTAGGGTGTGATCCTGGCACCTTTTAGAGGTGAAAGAGGCCCCAGCAAACAGGGGCACATGGCTAGTGATAGGCATTCTCACCCCCACCCTTTTCTGTTGGGCTCAGTATATTGGAGTTGTGGGTCTGTGGTTTTCTCTCTCTCTAGGGAGGGTGTCGTGGGCAGTGGAGGTGGCTGGCATAGTGTGGGGGTTGGATGTGGGTAGTTTGTTTTCCCTCTCTTTGGTGCTGGTTTCGATTCTCTGATGGGGCCTTCTCTACCCCTGTTTACAGGGTGCTGGGGCCCAGGCCCCTCCATTAGGGTCATGGCTCCTAAGGGACTTCTGAGGCGGGGCCTGTGCCCTTTCAATCCCATCCACCATCATCCCTGTCCTTGCCCATCCCTGTTCCTTGGTTAGCCTGGCCCTTGGCCCATTTCTATGACCTTTGCCCCCTCATTTGGTTCTGGGTCCTCCCTCCCCAGGGAGCTGAGCAGCTTTGTACTGAAGTCTGCTGCAGGCTGAGCTGGGTTAGGCTATTGGAGGTTCTGGTAGGGGGCAGGGAAGGACTTTCAAGCCTGTCCCTGGGGTGTTTGTCTGGAGGGGGAACCTTGAAACCTGATCCACTTTCAAAGTCTTCAGGATCAGAATTGAGGTGTTCATTCTAAGGTGACTGTAGTTACCTCTTTTCTGGGAGCAAGGCTGAGCTCCAGAAAGTGCCCAGCTGGGCTCCAAGCAGTCCAGGCTGGGTGTCTCCCAAACCCGCAAAGCCTGGGGTCTAGAATGAATGGCTTTCTGGGCCTCAGCCTTGGCTCAGGAGGTCTCACTTTAGGTCAGCTGCTCCCTGGGCTTCACCTCTAGGGAGGCAGGCTCTGGATGTGAATCCATTTAGTCTGGATCCTGGTTGTGCATGAGGAGGCGATGTACATGGGCTCGGCTCACAGGGAGGACTTTGGAGCATTTCTTGGCAGAAGAGGTAGACAGAAAGGCCAACTGGGCTGTGTGAGGGCCAGGGAATATGCACTTTGGGAAACTGGGACTATGGTTGTGTGTCTTCTGGGAGTGTGTTCAGGGGCCCATACAAATTCTGAACTGTGTTCACTACATGGTGGAGCCCAGGTGTGAGATGGTATCTCAAGGTTCCCTCTCCTCACGTACATGCCTGCGCACACAGGGGTTGCAAGCATGCTCTTGCCCACCTTCATGCTTTCTATAGACCTACATGGTGTGAGTTTCTGCAAGTGCATGGTGTATGTGTGTGAGGGTCCAACTATAGACACTTATGAGGTTTGGCCAGCCCCTCCTTTGCTTGCCTGGCTCCCCCAGCTCAAGTTCCCTTTGTATGGGGCCCCACTGGAATAGGGGGTAGGGGGGTAGGGTGGCAGCTGGTAGCTGGTCCAGTGGGTGGGGCCCCTTTTCCTCTGACTTTGCTTTTTCTGCCTGGGAGGGAATCAGCAGGGCCTGGGAAGGGAAGAG